GAGTGCAGTCTGATAGGGGGGGAGGATGAAGGGGGTGCCTGCCTGGGATAACCCCCCCAACCCCAAACAAGGAGACACAAATAAACTCAAGCAATATCCTAATTATCTGGTTTGAAACCAGCCCCCTCCCCAGCACTGTTGGAAAAAAAAAAGATTGGCGGGACCACCAAGAACACACAGAAGAAGCAGTGTGCACCCGAGAAGGAAAGAGGATATATTCCAAACGAGATTTACAATTAGGCATCAAAAATATGCTTGGTCAACTAGAGAGATGAGACCCATTATTGGCTTTGTAAAAGAGGAAGAGCTGATATGTACAGCAGTTCAATTTTGTTCTTTTTTCCCCAGGCTTTGACAGCGCTGTTTGTAGGCAGTGGCTAGAGACCAAGGCACAGCCCATTTCATCTTATTAGGAAGAGAAGAGATTATACACAGTTGCTTGCTGCTGCTGCTACTGCTGCTGCTTCTGTTTCTGCTGCAGCTGCCCAGCAGCCTCCTCTTTGGCTATGCGCTCTCTAGCCCATCTCTCCTGCAAGACCCTGTCACTTCTGTTTAGTCGTGTCTCCTATCTGTGAGAACAAGCAAAAGCCACACCACTAGGCTGACTTCCGCGGCAGGGCTATCGGCAGCAGAAGTAGCAGCAGCTGTGACTCAATCCTTGCCCAAGAGAAACGTCCCCAGGCTTTCCAACATGAGAATGCAGACAACGGGAAGAGCTTTGTTTTGAGGCTCAGCTTTTGACACAGCCATATAACGCGCTCTCATTAAACGTGAGTCTAATCTAGGAAGCTGATCACAGATACATTTATGACTATAACCCTTTTCAAAGAAATTCCTGCTGAGTTTCTCCATCTTAGTTTCTTTAAACAGGGAAACCATCCACATTGTGTCCCAGTGTGGATCCTGGGCTCAGTTAGCAACCAAGATCAAGAGCTAAACAGCAGTTTGTTTCCCTATTGAAATGGCAACAGTAAAGCATCGATCTGACCTGTTTCCAGAAAAGGGGGGTGGATGGGTTTGCCAAAGCCTAACCTCACCCCTCACTGCCTTATCTGCACATACAGATCTTAACCCGTTCTTCCCTTTTACTTGAGGGTACCCCTACAAGGTGTGCTGTCAGGTAGAACCAGTGGCTATTGCTGCTGAGAAAATGAAAAGCAACAGTAGACCATGTAACACATTTATTTATTTACAATATTTTTAGCCACACCATTACCAGTGGCTTCTGGGCGGCGTACAACATTAAAACTTAAAAACATTTTAAAAGACAATATAAAATATCATATTAATGTACACATGCAATAGCCATTTACTACGTTCTGTATATCTCACAAGTGTTTTTAATTCTATTGCCTTGCCTTGTTCCAAAGTTCAAGTTCTACTAGAGATGAATGCTAGGGCTGAACTCCACAGATGATGATCAAGCCAAGTGAGATCTAAGTCATTTGCTCTCTTAGATATGCTATTTCCATAGAGAATACCAACTGAGAGCATGGAATGTTCAAGAGATGTACATAAAACTGACAGTCATATATGCAATTTTCCTTGGTTCCATCTGTACTGATTTTGCCACAAATTATTGGGTAGTATCTGAATGTGAGTGACAAGTGAAACCTGATATAGTAAATATAGTCCTGACCTACACTGACGCAATCCTTTTAGAATCTTTTTTCACTCTTTTAGCGAAAAGCTTTCAGCTGGGTCAACAGCTAAGGTATTTCATGTTCCTGCCAAATATTAATGGGAAAAGAAGTGAATGCTGATATATATTCTGGCTGTGACACTTATATTTTGTGTGTCCAGGATTGTTATTCTCTTCCTGTAGAGGCACTTGATTTGCATTATCCAGTAATTTTAGTTGTCCCATATGCAGACAACTCTATGTTCTTTGCAATTCTAATATGTTTCCTAGATCTGTGCTGTTTCACAGAAGCCAAAATGAAAGTAATAGACAGAGCACTATTTCATATGTGTTTTGAAATGTGCAAACCTTTTATTTTCCTGAATAAATATGTTGCTCAAATATTCTTTAATTGTATTGTCTTTGTTGTTGTTTAGTCATGTCCGACTCTTCATGACCCCATAACACTGCTTGCTTGCCAGATGCATCTTCCTTGATTTAATACAGGGGATGGGTTGGAGAGACTGCTGTGTATCTCAAACACTATATCACTTACTTTCTGAGGTTTTAAGGATACCCAGGAGCCTACATAGATTCAAATATTAAAAGGAGTAGTGTGGAGGTGGTAGGGTAAAGCTATCAATCTGAAGCCTCAAAATGGAATCTGGTTTAATTACATCTTGCTCATATGAAAAAATCACAGAGAATGATCTGTGGTTGGTTACACTACTGCTCAATCTGAACAGAGTAATTTTGAGATCATTTTCTATAGAACTGCAGATTCTGTTCACAGTTAGCAAGTCAGATGACCTTTTGCCAAGAGCAGGGAGCAGCTGCAACAGGCAAAAACAAAAAAAAAGAGTATCCATTTTGTAAACCAACTCTGAATCTTTGCAAAGTAAGTCGATCCATTCACTACAGCGCTGAAAGTTTATTCTTAATTACAGTGTTTGTATTTAAACCTGTTTCATAGCATTAGTTTTGATGAAACTAAATTATACTAGATTCAAATGCCCAATTAATTCATATTGTACTTCAACAGCCATCACAGTAAGCAGTTACACAAAGAGCACCGAATTTGATCTCCATTGATGAGGATTCCAGTCCTATGTTATTCACTTTGGGGCTATTAGTATTGATTTTGCATTCAAAACAGCATTAATTTATACCACTGTTCAGTTCCTGTTTCTAATACTTTTGGGCCCAAAGCACCACACAGTCAGAATGATGTTGTTTTGCATTTACTTTACACAGCTAAAAATAAATGTACGAAGTGCTGGATACAGGGGAACAGATTATTTGATATTTTGAGGCTAAGGCAGACAGAGGAATACTATAATTTTAAAAATTATATAACATTATGCAAGACACTAAGAGGGATGTCTGGAAACTATTATAGAAACCTCTTGTGCATTTGTGTACACAAACCAAAAGCAGTACTTCTTCCCGCATATTGCCTTTTCATTGCTATTTCCATCTAGTCATTTCCTGGTTTTTGTGAGTCTGAAGCTTGTGGCAGCCCAGAGAGTTTCCTTTTAGTGCTATTATTTGGGTTGGTGGGCAGCTTTTTTACACTTACCTTAAATAGCTTTTCACAGGCACCATATTGTTTCTTTTCATATTTGCATGGCTTGAGGGAGATTCATGAAACTGACCCTTTCCCCAACCCGTGCTTGACACACAGAGTCTGTCACATTCACCATATTAACACTGGGTGATTTTTATGTGTTCTCAAAGATCAAGGAAAAGGGTGACCTTGTTTCTTTTTGAAGAAGGGAAGAACAAGCTCTAAAGAAAGAGATCCATGATTTGTAGATCTCATGATGCTGAGCTTAACTGCCTTTCAAGAGTGGGATGAAACAGAAAACCCTAACTAATCAGAACAAGAATAGCCAGTGCATGTCAACACTAAATTGCACCAATCTCTGAAGTCTGGACTAGGCTGCAACACTCTGAGGTTAGCATGCAAGGAAGACATCATGACCTCACTTATACATGCCACTTTTCCAGAAAAAAATAGGGAAAAAGACAAGCTTCAGTCATGGTCCCACAGCAACCATTGCAAAATATCAGAAGATCAGAAAGAGCAAATAAACAGAATGACCAACTTCAAAATGTTGGTTTGGTAACTACAACTACAAACCAATAGCCTACTGCCTGTATTACTGTATAATGTATGTTTAATTTCTTAAATGGTATATAAGCTGAATGAATGAATAAGATGACAGAAGCAACAAACTGTCTCTGTTTCTGCAGTGTTGCAACTCCAGCATAACTGGCACCAACCCAGAAGATGTTCTAATGCATTAGAAACTAACCTAATTGACCAAGCACTGTTTGACCAAGCGTTTGCAGATCTTGATATCAAGCTTACTAGGACTGTTGGCTTTAATGGGGATTTTAGTATTTGCATTTTAACGTAATTGCTGTAAACTGTCCAAAGCAATATCTACTTGTCTATCACATATACAGTAAAAGATATCACAGACTAGTAAAACTTTAGTTTGCGATATCTGTGACTGTATATGTGATAGACCAGTAGATGATGCTGTCACACACACCCAGCTCCTCTGTTTGTTTTCCCTAACAGACAGATTTGCCTTCGGGTATGACTGTTCCTTTTCTCCCTAATTCTGCTGCTACCAGAGGATTACTTCCTCAATTACCAATGATGAAGACAGAATCACTGATGTAAAATATAACAATGTTTATTTAGAGATTAACAGGTGAAACACACAAAGAAAATCATGGATGGTATTGTAGTTGGAATTCATTAAACTTCTTTTGCTTTACACATATGTTGGTTCATTTATATTTGTTTTCAAGCATGGTGTAACTGTTTATTTAATTCTTATAACTTTCACTTCTTTCAGTTCTCTCATACATTAACTTTCCAAGTATTCTGTTTTAAATCCTATCTATCCTTCTATAGATCCCTATCCTTCTTCTCGCTAACTCTTCCCCTGTCTTAACTTTTCCTAACTGTCCCACCTAACTGATTCCAACTGTCCCTCCCTTTTTTTCCTCTTTGGTTCCACCCTCCTGTCTTATCATTGGCTCCCGTATCAGGGTTCTAACGTGATGGACAGGCATGACATCTGGACTGTCCATCACAGATACTTTGGAATTTTGCCCAGTAGTGATGGGGTTGAGAGTGGAGAACTGTATTCAGAACCAAAGCAGAGTGATATTTGGGGCCAAAGCAGAACACACCTTCCTTAGTTTGTATTCTATACGCAGGTAATTTTATGCAAATGCCCAAAGCGTCTGAGCAAAGATGGGAGAGCTGGAACATTTGGTGGCTAGGGATAACATTGATATAGTAGCCATAACAGAAACCTGGTGGAATTTGGAGAACCAGTGGGATAACACAATCCCAGGCTAGTATAAACGTTATAGGAGGGATAGGGAGGGCGCGTTGGAGGTGGGGTGGCCATCTATGTCAAAGAAGGGGTAAAATCCAGCAGAATAGAGATGGATGGCAGGTCTGACTCCATCATATAATCATAATTCAGATCTGACCAAGCATTACAGATCTGCCCAAGCACTATCATCTTTATATATCTTGTGCAAAATAAGTTTACTTCGTAGTCTTCTGCTTTAAAGAGTGGACTCTACACAAGTTGCTGAAGAGTCCTTTTTCAGTAAATATAAGCTGGTGCTAAATGGAGCTTCAATCAACAGATTGTTGCTTTTGCCAGTGTAAAGCTGCATATGATTCACTTGGAAGATCCCTTGCATAAGCGGCACTGAAATGAAAGGGTCCTTGAAAGAACATAATGGATTGGATATGTGCCAAAACTCTTGGTAAGCTGTACCCCATGTCACTGCTCAGATTGCTCAAGTATTGCTTTTATTAGATTGATCCTTCTTATATTTTGTTAACATTTACAAATGTTACACTGAAATTCATAAGTCTCCTTTATTTGGATTGGCTTCTAGTAAGTGTACTAAACTCTCCATATGTTGGGATATATTAATATTGTTGGAGCCATGTAGGTTTTATAATGTGATATTTTTAGACTTCATTTTATCTGCAGCATGTTACGACCTGCCCTGAGCCCTTGAGATAAAGAAGAATAAAGATCAGAATAAATAAATATGTTATGACAACTCTTTCCAGCATAATTTCTCAACTATATCCTATATATCATTCCCACAAGATTAATTCTTTATACATCATTATGATGATGTCAAAAATCCATGAGTTACAACAGCACAATGTGACAAGCACTTGTAACACAGGAACAAGTTGTTTAACAAGAACAACTTTATAAACTGCAAGGGATTTTCCCCCACTTCAATATGGTACCAAAGAGTATGTTGTGGGAAACCACTGAAGGCAATTGTTCCCTACCCCATATCACCTCCTTTAATAATCTGTGTCCCAGCAGAGGGCAGTGCCTTCTCAAGTTATAGAAGGTTGAAAGAAAGGCCTTTGGCACTGAACAACATCCAAAAGGCAGAGAATGGGCCAAATCAAAGTGCCCTCAGGATGTCAGGAATAGAGATTAGTTTTGCAGTAATGCAGCAAAGTTGCAAGCTATGATAAACCAATAAACCTTCCTCCAAAATGTCAGTCACCGTCATCAGGACATAAAGGTCTGAAGAGAAACAAGAGTATAAAGGTCTTATTTTGTGTCTCACAGTTTCAGCTCTTTCTGAAAGAGTATTTAATCTTATCTGTTCTTGACTGTTTGGTTCTACCAGGATGGCTGAGTTGTTTCAGGATTAAGAGACTATGGTATGTTGTCTATTAATTTTCTAAATTATTTTTTCCTTTGGAAATTTCTCACAGTTTGCATTTATGCTTGCTTTCACAATATCTGAGCAGCTGGAATTACACAAAACCATAACAAAATCCCACACCCCTTTTAAAAACATGGGACAGGCAATAAACAGCTGAAGCTTGAAATGATGCTTGAAGAAAAAAAATTAAGTTTGTCTTAGAACTGACAGAAAGCAAGTTATGAAAAGATAACAAAAGCCAAAGGTTTACGTCCTCATATTTCATTCTGGGAATCTAAACATTCAAGTATTTACAAGGTTAAAGTAAAAAAGCAAGCTACAATTTAATGCACCTCATACCAGTGCATGAAAAGCTTCCACCTTCTCTTTGTATAGCTGATGGAAGGAATTTGCCACAATATTAAAAGGAGCTTCATAGTTTTCCATCTCCTTCTGTAAAGAGAAAAATGACATATGAGGAAGTGGGGAGGAAAAGCTCTTTCTTAAATACTTCAACTATTGCTAGAAATAACACAAGCATCTTAAGATAACAAGAAACTTCAGTGTCTCTTCAGTAGGAAAATGAACATAGTTCTTTGCCTACACCCAATTACATAAAGGCACTCACAACTGAAATCTCACAGTATCCCAAGCCATTGCTTTCTGCCCATCCTTGTGCTTGTTTTTGCTCCACAACTCGCCTCTCAGTTAAATCTGTCTTATTGCCCACCAGCACACCTACAAAAAACAAAAGGAAGAGCAACAGAAATATCAAATTATTAAAAGTAAACACTAAAAAGGATGGGGAAAATAAATGGTTTGACAACTTAATGGATGGAAAGATCACAAGGGAGTCATTTAGAACAGTGGTTCTTAACCTTTTTGAAAGAAATGCCCCCTTGAGCCATTGAGGAAGTTATCATCATCCCCCCCTCCCCACCATGGCAGCACAATGCTGCCACAGGGAGGGGGGCAATAACTTCTCAATGGCGGCGGTGGCATGTCAGCTCCATCGCCCCCTATTGCCCGCCCTTCTGTTCCTTTGCTCCCTGTCGCCCCTTTTCGTTCCATCACCCCCCTGAAAACGAAATCGCCCCCTGGGGAGTGATATTGCCCAGGTTAAGAACCACTGATTTAGAACAGTGGTTCTTAATCTTTGCTCCTCTAGTCATTTTGGACTTCATCCTCAAAAAGCCCCAGAAAATGTGGCTCATAAAAAGGGATTCTTGGAACTGAAGAATCAAAGGTCGAGAACGACTGATTTAGAACATGTGCCTCCCATGTTCGTTTCAGATGCTGACTGATTAAGGAAGCCCATTCCAGCTACTTCAAATTAAGATGTGCCCGTCTTCCAGAACTCATGAGTAAGTGGTATCAAACAAAACATATATACTAGTAAGTTTATAATTCCCTACCTGGAATTTGCCTTCCAGAGACTTGGGCCCTCACCTTCTCTAGCCACTTTTCACAGTTACCAAAAGACTGCTCATTGGTGACATCGTATACAATACATACAGCATTCGGCTGTTCCCACTATATAGTAAAAAGAAAATATTAGAAATTCAATTGACACAGATGTGATGCAAATCCAGGGACTTCATAGTGAAGAAAGAAAATAATTGTGCTAGATATAAACCCAAGCTAAACTGAAAGTGTCCAATAGAAAAGACCACATAATCCATCCCGTTTAAATGTTCCTGGCATTCAGAGAGAAATATAAATTTCTGTATATTTCTAAATTTCTTAATGTATATTTTAGCCGTAGTATTACCAGAGAACTTAGCAATAATTAACCACAATAAAGAATAAACACATTCACGAAGAGGTGGTCTGGGCATTTATGTTACTGTGTCAAAATAATGTAACAAAAATGTATACAATAAAAAAAGCAATCCAATATACACTTACTTGTGGGAGGAAGCCCCACTGAACTCTTTGGGACTTTGTTCTGAACAGACATATGCATATTTGTACTGCAAAATAAAATAGCAGAAATCTAAAACTACCTTAAGGGAAGGCATTTTTGTACTGCTCATAAAAGCAAAGAGTTGTTTTAGCTCTAACCATGGTGATGTAAAGATTCATGTTAAGTCCCATCCCATTGTCCCTACCCAATTTCAATTCTGTGTGTTGAATGAGAAGGTCTGAAGAGACAGCTGTGGGCAAATTTAGCTCAATGTACTTTAGCTTTATTCATATCTGAACATCTTACAAGCATCTCTGTAGGTTTTCATTTTAAATTTGTGTATTTGACATCTGGAAGTCCATGAGGGCGGGGCTTACGTATGTCCTAAGCCATCTCACGATTAGATCCCTCTCTGCCTTCAAGCATTAAAACCAGATCAGCCTTTCTTACATATACTGTAGTTTAATTTGGATATGGAGTTCAAGTTGGTTTCACAGATCACCAACTGAATTAGGACTTTTATATTCTATTTACCAGTTTCTCTAGCATCTCTGAGAAAAGTTCTTTGCTTGCTGAGTCAAAAAGGAAGAGTTCCTGAAAGCAGAAGCACAAATTTGGTGTAGCTACAGAATTTTCAAGGTACACAGCTTTTGAATACTGGACTTCTAGCAACTATCACAAAAAATGAGCAACAAGTCCCTCCCTCCCCCAGAAACTACTCAGGCCTATATCTAACTGTTAGTCCCAAATAAAGTTAGACTCAGTAGCTGAAATCTACCAATAAATTACAACTAGAGTAGGCCCATTGAATCAGCAGGGATTTTGTGAGTCATCCTGCCAATCTAGCAGTTTGAAAGCATGTAAATAGGTACCACCACGGTGGGAAGGTAACGGGGTTCCATGTCTAGTCGTGCTAGCCATGTGACCATGGAAACTATATATGGACAAACGCTGGCTCTACGGCTTGGAGATGGGGATGAGCAACTTCCCCTAGAGTTGGACACGACTGGACTAAATGTCAAGGGGAACCTTTACCTTACTCTAGTTGAGATTCATTTCTGGATTTCAGCCACTGGATGAATGGCAACTTGGTGTACATTTCATTGATCCAGTGGATCTGTTCCAGTTAAGATGAAAGTTGGATTTAGGTTTCACCTTATAGCACACAATGTACTGTATATGTTTCCCACAAAGTTTTGGACATGAGCTCACAATGTTGCCTTCAAAAGATACACACTCCATAGCCCAGGTAGACCGTATCTAAACTACAAATATTGTATCATCCTGTTCCCCTGCTGGCCACTCCTAAAATAACTGGTGACTACATTTTTGTTGTCAGCATTTTAACTGCTAATATTAACATATAATAAAGCTGTACTGGGGCAGGGATGACATGGGAATCTTTGCAGGCTTGAAATGGTCCACAGATTTATGAATTTCCAGATTCCACTTCTATGTCAACATCAAATCACCGCATATACAAAATGGCACCTGGGGTTCTAACAAAGTCATATGTTTTTCAGAGTGGTAAGAGTTTCAATGGTTACTAGCTTAAAATAAGCATCATGCCTAGTTTCTGCATGGCTAGTCTTAACATTTCACAAGTATTTAAAAAGAAACATGGAGTCTTATCCAACAGAATGTAAATAGCTGAAAAGCCTCCCACCAAAAAATCCTAGACAAGTGTTTCTAAAAGCTCAAAACAACATAGTTGGACTCACCACAGTGTCACTAGTTTCTGGAATTGGCACTGCCTTCACTAGAAGTTCTACTCCTGTTGTCTGCCAGTCAGCATAAATAATACATTTTAAAAATTGAGAAAAAGTCAGAGAAAACTTGGAGTCAACTTGAAATATTTCTAAATGACAATTTTATTTCAGTCAATCTGAAAAGTGGATGCTCAGGACTAGAGAAGAAAAACAAAATTAGACAGAGAAACTCTGTACAGAATTTATTTTTAACATAAGCTGGACACTTGCTTTAGATTCTTTAGCATATGGTTCATATCTTTATTTAGTCAGCCATCTTTGGAAGAGAGACTAGTGCATCCTTCTTTTCATGCTAGTCTAATACTGTATAGTATAAAAAGTTGGCTTCAAGATGGATAAAGTATACAGAAGTATAATTTGCACAATTTTCCTTTAAAATGGCTTCTGAGTGGGATATGTGTTCTACTTATTTCGTGTGTGTAGCAGAAACAAAATGTAACAGGCTCCTGCATATAAAATAACTGGGTAAGGATATGAACTTAATGTAGATAAAGGTACCTGGTGATCTTTTCTAATTAAGTTGTCCAAAATACAGTATGTCCAAGATACTTGCAATTGATTGCACAGTCCCTTTATACAAGACTAACTTTCAAATTTGCAAACATAATGTTGCTTCCTCCCCCCTCATACCCATCATTTGGCCACATAGCTCACCAATGTATAGTTTTTCTGGAAATGAGCCCCATCATTGCAGAACATCTGGACCAAGGCACTCTTCCCTACTGCTGAATCACCTGCATTACAAAAGACAGGAAAAGAGATTTGTTCTAAATTAACTAAGCAATTTATTTCTAGTTTACAGGTCCTAAGTCCTGAGAAATGTATGTTCCAGAGTTACACAACTTGCAATATAAGCAAACAGACAGACGAACAAAAAAACCGCAAACCTCACTCAAATTTTTCTAAAATTAAAGTTCTGTAATTCTGTAAAGAATCACAGCCAAACTAAAGTTTGGGTTAGTTGTATGACTACAATTAATAAGTAAGCTTTTGTTTTGCAAATAGCAGTCAAGAGGAAGTCTAAGGAGCAGGATGGCAGGAAGGATGGTTGAATTTCCTCTCTACTTGTTGAGGTTGAACACAAGTCAGCCTGACTTGTTTAAGTACCCCATTGCAATTTAATCCAAAACTATCCTTTCTTCATCATATCACACTGCTAGATAGCATTTAAATTTTCTATCACATCACTCTGTCACTGGAAGCTGTCCAAACATGTAACAGGAACAGCAAGAATGTAATGAGAGGTGTTCTCAATTCCACACTCCCTTCCTTAAACCCACTACACTTACAATGTTAGTGGACTAGCCCCAAAGGTTTATTGGACTTATATCTGAAATCCAAATTTCCTGGTGTGGGAGAATAGGGATATTTCTGCCTGCACATCTGCATAATTAAACTGCATGCTTGCCCACTGAGGCTGAGCCTGCGAACATCTTTTATGAGTCTTTCATTCTGGCAAAATTCTTGTATGTTCACAATTTTGAGAGGCAAATATGTTGCAGCACTTGGTAGGGTTGTACGCAGTTGTTAACTCATAAGCAACAATGCTGCATTTTACCCATGCTCCAGTCAGAGTGAATAGTATATCAGGATGACAGGCTATGTATCTATACGTATGTGTTCTCATTTTGCGGCAAATAAATTCTTTAATGACAAAACAGCTCATGTGGCTTTAACATTACAACATGGACATTGCAGACTACTGATGATATGCTGAGTTCTACTGGCACAGGGGAATGATATCACTACCACGAGCAGAATGGCACTAATTAAATAATTCCTTTTACAATTTCAGGATTGGTGTGACTTTGCCTTATTGTGAGCAATGGTGTTCACCCCAACACTGGAGATAATTTTTTTAATTAGCAGCATTCTTATAATATTTAACCATTTCAAAATATCTGAAATTTTCCTATATAACCTGGGGTTTATGATCAACTTCCCATGCTTTCAAAATGCAGAATGGCACCCTGAAAACTACAAATATACTATCAGCTTCTTGTACTTGACATCATCTGTAGATAATGGTATCACTAACAGTGCTTATGAGAGAGTATCTCCTGTTATCAAGTCTGCCTCTGATAGGTATAAAATCTTGACAGTGAATTCTATCATCTAAGGATAATCTTCAGGTTATCAGAGGATATTCAATCTGTTTTGTCTCCAAGAAGGGATACAGGAAACTTATGATCTCTTTGTAAGGCAAATATAAAGCCAACAAAGCATGTTCAGGTCAGATTTTCCTAGCTTGGTGTCTCAAAATGTGTTGGACTCCAGTTCTCATCACAATGCATCTTATAGTCTAAGACATTTGGAGAGCATGAGGATCGGAATGCAATGTCTCCCTCATTGTCAGAACTTAATTTTCATCTTGCGGATATCTTGTTTCTATTGGTTGAGTGGTTTTGGAACAAAAGGAACCATGGCTCAATATCCTGTGATTTGACATTGCTGTAACACTCCAACCAGTCTAAAGGATGAAGTACCTGTGGCAGGTAGCATCTCCCAAGTAGTGATACACTGGGTTAGTGGCGGGAGGGTACACGAACTGAGTACAATCTTTATCTTTATTGGAAGTTGATTATCACAGTGAGACTCAAAATCTATTTGCTCCTCTCATAAATCTGTCACTTTGTGTTATTCAGAGTGATACCTTTCAGGTACAAAAATTATGGAACCATTCCAAAAATATGCAAAAATGCTAAACATCTCTGGATTATGGCTGAACCTTTGAGGGCCTGGTGCACTGTGTATGATTCAACTTCCAAAATGAGAAGTTGAGATTTAGCAAGAGTTACTAAAGTATAGCACTCAGTCTTTTGTGACATCTAGCTGTACTCTTGTTATTCCAAGAATTAAAATATCAGCATGGAAGGCAGAGAACACCTTTCACATCATCTCTAGCATTTGTGATATTTTATGTACCATGGTTGTTATCCAGCCATTTGTTCCCATGAGCTAAAGGCATAATACATGGCTTATCACCTCTATATTTTCTTCTCCCAACAGCCCAGAGAGGTAGGTTAGGCTGAGAGATTGTGACTAGCTCAAGGCCACAGAGTTTTAAAGATGGATGGAAATCTGAACTTGGGTTTCCTAAGTCACTATCTGAAGACAGGAGGGCCTGGCGTGCTCTGGTCCATGGGGTCACGATGAGTTGGACACGACTAAACAACAACGTCATTGTCCAATACTAGACTACATCCATTGGGCTAAGCAAGTTCACACAGATAATCTCTTATAGGTATTCAAAACAGGGCACATCTGTTGATTTATAATGTTGCTCAGTTAAGAGAATCTGCCCAGACTCTGTGACATTATAAAAGCCATGGTTTCTGCTAAATATATTTTGAAAGCAGGATGTGCCTTCAATCAGATCAACATAATCTTAAATTCACTCTTGAGTTTTAACACCACAACCAATGTCTCAGGGTGGATGGTGTGCTTTTCACCTTCAACACTTTTCTATTACTTTGCCCATCAGTGGCAAAAGTACATGTTTTGTTTAATTATGGCAAATGGAATTACAATGGCTTTCAAATACATTCACTGATACCTCCCTCCCTCCACTATCTTTGAAGACAAATGCTTTGTGTTCTTTGGACAGCGGTGCTGATATTAGGATTTTATTGGTTTGATTCTCCATAGAACTGAAGAACTCATGTCATAATCTTCAGATTTTGTATGTAAACTGGGGGCTTCTCTGAATCAACTGAAGCACCTAGCTGACGTAGGCCAAATTTCAGGGGATGGAAAATAAATCTGTTCTAGTGATACAATCTTGATTTGCTCCCTTCTGTCCATGACCAGTGCATACTGGGATACGCTGGCAGTGCCCTGCTACAGCTTGTTCTGTCATTCCTATATTGCTCCTTTTTACAGTACCTGTTTTCACTTTGCTGGATCTCAATACCCTGTTGCAACACACTTTTCCTGAGTATGAAAAACCCCTCAAGAGGCTTGCTCTTCCACTTGCAGAATATGGTTCTTCAGTAGTTAGTGGCACAACTGAGAAATTGCTGACACCACTTACAAAACAGGCCTACGCTGTTCAACCAGTACAGTCTTGAAATTGTGTAGCTGAACAGAAATTCATTTTTTCTTGTACACCTGTTCCAATTTAAAAAAAAATACCTTTGCAAACTTGCCATTTTAAGTACCAGTCCATTTCTGAATAAAACCAAGAAAATCTGAACCAGCACCCACCTCTCCTCATTATTTTTGCTTATCTGTTTGGAGGCAGAGCTTTGCCTCAAAAGCTGGGATCTCTCTTGAAAAAATAAATGTTTTTAATGACTTGAGTAAACTATGGTCAATTTCTGGTCACAAGCACATTATTTACGGATTAGGTTTACTCATCACCGGCCTATCCTGTTCGTTTGTAACAGCTACAGTGGCAAGCCACTAAAATTTGCAGCTCATATGATAAAATTAGAGACAGAGAAAGAGGAAACGAGTGCTGCTCCGAGCCTGGTTATTTATGTTTAGCACTGGAAGGTCCATAGTTGGCTTAAATTGCAACGCCTAGCTTTTTTGTTTTTACGTGTCACCAGATTAGCTCCATATTTTATTGAACGTCCTACCCAATCCCTGCCATGCTGAGCCAAGAAGCAATTCTCACTGATTTCTGGGGGCAAGATTTGGAAGCAAAGAACCACGGCCAGCCACCGTCTTCAACAGCAGGCTCGCTCCCCGCAAGGATATGTATGTAAAGAAAAGCCACGCTCCTAAGGAAAGTTGTGAGGTCTCCGGCGGGCTCGCTCCCCGCAAGGATATGTAAAGAAAAGCCACGCTCCTAAGGAAGATCCGTTTTAAGCACTCACCTGCCACGATGCATTTGGCAACCAGCTTCACCATGGCTCGCAGGTCTCTTCACCATGGGAAGAGGGCTTTTGTGAGAGGGGACGGGAAAGAGACCCACAATTACTGGGTCTCTTTCAATTACTACACAATTTGAGTTGTGTAGTTGTGTCTCAGAGACGGAACGCGAGCCCTAATGCAGTGGGTGGTGGCAGAAATACTGCAGGCCTTTCTTGGAAACACTCAGGAGGGCCATTAGGCGTTACACGGCGGATGGAGGGGAGCAGGGACCCACAGCGGCTCCCAATCCCCGCATAGTCGCACACTCTCCCCTTTCAGCAAAAGGAGGCTCCCCACCCCTCTCCTAGCAACAGTACACTAAAGATCCGGCCCCTCCCACCCTCCTGCTAACTATGTCCCTATTGGCAGAGGCTCTACAATTCGCGAGCTGAGATTGGATACATGTTGAGCCTATCTGCCTTTCTATTGGTTTCCCTTTTCAGCCTTTCCGCCGACAGCTTCAGTCCATTGGCTGTCTTGAAATGCCGTTAAAAAGAACACCGGCTAGCGATTGATTGGACTGGCGTTCAATCTCGACGAAACGAATTTCCGGCCCTCCGCGGCGATAAACGCCGTCCTCCCTTCCTCACCCGTGGGCCAGAGATGACGTCATTTTAAACTCTCGTTTAGCATGCAGCGCCTTATTCTACCTAGTAATTTATGATATGTCACTAAGCCTATTTTATGATTGGTTCCATTCAGGAGGACTGTACCACTGGGGCGAAATGATCCTTTATTTTAATTGTTTGAAAATCCTGCAGGAAAAAAGAGCGATAAAAATTTCCGAATAATTTGTGGATTCGATTAATGAAGCATTCGGAAAAATTGTTTGAAAAAAGACATCGGCTTTCCTATACTTCCAATAGATTCGCAACCACTACCCCTCACTAGTGGACAATCCCACACCCCTATGCATATACGATTTCTCGCGTCTACTGTGGCTCTCTACACAAGGTTAACTGAGTTTTTTGCGTCTGCGCAGAGTGAGCCTTGCTTCTCCCTGCCCCCTCCTTCCCCTTTGGGAGAGGGCAGCGAACGGTTGCGCTCGCTGTGACTTGGAACTGTTTTTTTTTTTTTTTTAACGGTTGCTGGCTTCACGCGGCCGCCTTTCCTTCATAGCTGACTGACAACCGCATTTAATGCTTGTGTAACCCTGGCGCCAGTTTGGGGGTGGGTGGGGCGCGGATGGCAAGGGAGGCATCATGTCGAACAGTCTCTCGCCCCGCTTCGGATGAGGCGGGTTCTCTTGAGGCCAGGGCAGACCCTCCAGGGTCTGCAAGCAAAACCAATACTGTACAAGCGATCTGCTTCTCCGCTGGCAAAAAGGTGCCGAGAGAAGGGCGGCTGCTTTCACATTCCCCCCCCCCCTCTTGGCTCCAGATATCTGCACTGGAAAGCTGGAGAAAATGGAGGGGGAGAAATGGAAACTGTTGTTAATCTTAGCGATTATCTCACAGCACTTGTGATGTGTGGGATCACTCCAGGCTTGAAACGGATGCCCTGCTTTGTAATTATGAAATGTGCAGTCCATTTTTCCTCCAAGGAGTTCAAGATGGCATCAGGGATTATCACTGTCCACATTCTTCACAACAATTCACCTGTCAGGTGGTCTGAGCGGAGAAGTAGTCATTTATCCAACAGCAACCAGTCAGTTGCTTGGCTGAGTGGGTGTTTGATGGTGGCTTTCTCAAGGTTACCATGATACATTGACCTAGGATGAGGCAATAGGGTTGTCTGGTCTTCCACCTCAGTGACCTGACTAGAGGGAATTGAGGGGATCTTCTGATGAAGAGTCAAGTTCAGGAACAATTAAGTACCAGATGAAAAGAGGACAGCATCTACATCTTTAATACAGTAGTTGTGTAGAAACAGGCCTTTAGCCATATATAGATTATCATGGCAGCTGTCCCTGATGAAATAATTAATAACAATAATTGTGTGCTCCCCCCAAGTCAATTTTGACTTAAGGAGACCCTTCTCAGGGTTTTCTGGGTAGAAAGTACAGTATTCAGAAGTGGTTTACCATGCCTTCTGAAGGCATCCGGGGTCTGTGGAGCTTGCCCAAAGCCACAAAGCCTGGCTTCCTGGGAGGCACAATGGGGAATTGAACTCCCAACCTCTGGCTCTGCAACCAGATGCCTATCCCATTCAGTTAGCCAACTGCTGAAATTTTAGAGCCTCAGTATAAATTTTAAAGGTGCAGGAACCTTGTCCTCTTTTTACTTGGCCACTGTACTGATACTGTTAGTATGGGAATGAGCCATAGACTCTTGCTTTCCCCCCCTCCTTCTCTATGCATGTCTCATTCTAGCAGAGTTGGCTTAATTTCTTAAACCACAGTTTTCTGCAACATCTGGACTGGGAAGCTGCAGCTCCCTTGAAACGTAAGATTTATTGTGTCTGAACTAGATCACAGCCTCATGGTAGCTCAGGTTTACAGTTCACTCAACATTTAAAATTAAGAAAGCAACATAAGAGATATTCTAGCTGGTAAAATCAGGCAAAACGTTAGAATAGTTGAAGCCAGCTATGATAACAGAACTTGAGTACCCTGCTTTATAAACTGTTTGAAATCTATTGTACATTTTGAAATCTATTGTACATGCATCTGTCCATTGTGATTATTTGCAGGATTTAGCATAGTAAGCTCTAAATAAAGCAGTGGAGAAGGTATATATTGACATAAGTGTTAGGAAGCTTGCTCTTAATAGCCACCTGGGACTCAATAAGGTGTATACTCGGCTGTCTTGTATTCATTTTATCAAAATTCAATTCACACTACACATCATTCTATCTGCAGAGATTAACAGTTCTTGTTTTTCAAATTGGTGAGGTGGTCAGACACTGTGGGAGACAGATCTAGCAAGAGATTTAAAACAGTTGCAGTGCCAACATAATTGGTCTGAACAAACTATAAAACCACAGTTCTTGAAGGAGGTGAAAGGAAAGTCCAATGCTGTACAACACAAACAGTTGGAACATGAAATGTGAGAAGTATGAGTCAAGGTAAACTGGAAACTGTAAAGCAAGAAATGGAATGTATAAAAATGTACTGCTTGGTGCCAGTGAACTAAAGTGGACTGGATTGACATATTTTCAGTCAGACAACTACAAAAAGTTCTACTCTGGAAATGACAAACTCAGGAGAAACAGAGTGGCTCTGATACCAAGGTAAGTTGTGGCACCGGCAATTTGGGGATATAATGCAAGGTCTGACTGAATAATATCAGCCAAACCTGTGGAAAACCTATCAACATAACAATATTTCAAGGTGATGCTCCAACAACTGAAGCTAAAAAAGATGAAACTGAAAGCTTTTGCACAAGTACATCAAAAAGCACACTTTTACTACATCGCACGGCAAAACAAGACGGGCTTCTAATCACAGGTTAGTGGCATGCAAACAAACCAAATTATGTTGGAAAATTACGTCTAAATTACGTCTAGCGGTTAGTGTGAGACCAAAGGTGAGAGCAAGCCTCCTCTTACGGGAGTGCCATCCCTCCTGCCTACTGCTGATAAGGAGAGTCAAATCCCGCCAATTTATTTATTTAACTTATATGCCGCCCACACTATCCAAAGGTCTCTTCCCCCACCCAGGAAGACAAGGCCACCTGGATCAGACCTGGGGAGAGTAGAGGAGGAGCTGAGAGACTTAATGGTCCAAGAGACCGGGACTGTTTTGGCAGGAAAGGAGGAAAAAGCATGGGTAGTTGTGGTTAGCAGACATAAAAGGGGGTGAAGGAGGACTCCCACCAGGATGGGAGTGAATGTGGGTAGAAGACTCCTGGACTGGAAAGATGGAGAAGCTGAGAGTCCCAAAGGAGGAGGCAGATTCCTGCAGGAGAAGGGAGAACACACCCAAACCGTTGTACTGGGGGGAAAGAAAGACCAAGGAGTGGAGGAGGAAATTAACGAAAAAGAAGGAGAAGGTGGAGAGGGAGAGAAGGGAAAGACTAGAATGGGCAATCTGGGAGATGCAACAGATGGAGCGACAGGAGGACCCTGGCAGACAGTTGACCCCACTGCAGAGCTGGCCTGGGTGGACCCCAGAGATGAAGACACAATCCCCTTGGAGAGGGAAATGGATAGATATTAAACCCGGGTACAACATTGGACTGTATGGGGCCCTGGAATGTTTCAGATGGAAATTGGTTTAAAGTTGAAGATTGGAAACCCCTGTTAGTCCCGTTGTTTGAGAGGGAGAAAAATTGGAACACATTTGCAGACACTGGACTTTTGTTAAATCATGCAATAAATGTTACCCCGATTTCCAAACCTCGCAAATCTGATGATTTATTCGGGGCTACTTGGGAGCCAGGAAGCAAACCCTCACAGTTAGAAATGAAGTGGGAGAATGATTCAGACAATTCTATGAAGGCAGCATTTTTTTTTTTTTTGCAAATATGTGTCTCAAGCAACCGAACAAAAAACTACATGTGGACATCATCAGATGGTCAATATAAAAATCAAATAGATTTTGTAATTGGAAGCAAGAGATGGATAAGCTGTATTCTCTGCCAAAACAAGACCAGGAGCAGATGGTGGTACTGATCATCACTATTAATGTCCAATATCTGAGGTGAAAGAGAGCACTGAAAGAATCATAATGCTAAAATATAGTTTCAACAACATTCCTGAAGATCAGCCCATGCTTTATAGATTATAACAAAGCCTTTGTGTGGATCATGAGAAACTATGACTTGTTCTGAAAGAAGTGGGAGTGCATCAGTCCTTGTTTGTCCTGATGCACAACTTGTATTGTGGACAAGTAGCTACCATTAGGACAGAGTATGGAGAGACAGAATGGTTTCTTATAGGCAAGGGTGTCAAACAAGGCAGTATTTAACCCCTTACCTGTTCATCTGTACACAGAACATATCACAGGGAAAGCTGGACTAGATTCAGATGAATGAGTGATAATTGGTGGAAGCCTTGATTGTCCTGGTGCACAACTTGTATTGTGGACAAGTAGCTACCATTAGGACAGAGTATGGAGAGACAGAATGGTTTCTTATAGGCAAGGGTGTCAAACAAGGCAGTATTTAACCCCTTACCTGTTCATCTGTACACAGAACATATCACAGGGAAAGCTGGACTAGATTCAGATGAATGAGTGATAATTGGTGGAAGAAACATCAGTCTTTTCAAATATGCAGATTACCCCATCTTATTTGCAGAAAGTAGCAATGACTTGAAATGACTATGGTGAAAGTGAAAGAAAGCAGGACTGCAGTGGAACATTAAGAAGACAAAAATGAATACAGAAGAACCACAAAATGTTGATGTTGACAATGAAGAAATTGAAATAGTGAAAAACATATACATGAGTTGGAGGTGATGTGATGGCACATAACTATAACACCAACAAGCAGGATGAGGAGATTTGGGTCCTTGACAAAAGCTCTGCAGAGATTTGCTCTACGAGAGGGAAAAAACAAGGAAGAAATGGAAAAACTTCAAGAACAGGGAAAGAAAAGAAAGAGAAAGAGGCAATGATGAGGAAATTTCCACCGTGGATAATATAACAGCATACAATAATGATGTATGCTTTTATTTGAAGCAAAATACTTTTGCTATTACCAGGAACCGTTCGGTGCTACAGATTTAATGCACAATAACATTTGTTTCTGAAAAGAAGACATTTGCTCAATGAATTTAAAATGCATAACAATTAAAAAATGATGAAAAAACTGGGTATGTTTAGAGAAAACAAAACCAGGGGCCAGATACTGGCAGTTTCCAAATGCACATTCCAGAATTTAAGAAGTTATAAGAACGTTAGTCATGAGAGTATCCACTGGTTAAGAAGGGATATCAAATATGTCATGGTTAATTACCATCCCATCCAAATACTGAAAAATGGATGTTGCAAAAACACTTCTTTTTGGCTTCACATTAGAATATATGCCATTCCAGTAATACAGTATTTCCTTTATTTGCAAATATACTCCTTGGGCATAAGCAAAGGCAA